CTTCAGAGCAGCCGTACTCAGCTTTAAGAATTTATATCCGGAGGTATTTGTAAATACTTCATTTCTGTGAGAAGGACCTCCAAGAAGTGACAGAGCCTCTTTGCCCATACATCATCCCTAGATATCAGAGCATATTGACACCTGCCATTTAAAAACCCTTATTTTAAAACAATACAAGTGGGAAATAAAAAAAAGCTGCTTTAGGGAATCTAGCAGAGGTGAAAGAGACCAGTCCAAAAATGCAAAAGACCAAACTCCCATCATATTCTATGTATTATTAGATGACAGTCAGTAGTGTAAACTTACCTCACCGTTTCCTACCGGTCTACTTCAGACCAAATATAGAAGAGAGATTCTTCAAGTGGCTGAGAGAGGTTGGCTATTGGAGTGTATCCTCCACATGTTGGCTACCAAAGCTGTGAACCAGGGTCATGACCCATCCAGTGTGTAACCCTGCTAGTCACTAGAGTCCTGCCCCAGGAACTTAGCCTGTGTCTTTTTGCTGCTAGCTGCAGTAATAGCTTTCCTCATGTGGAGCTGTGTTTACAGAAACCAGACTGAACTGGCCTTACAGAAGCCATCATTATCACCTCCTTGCAAAGCACAGGATGACAAGCCACTGCTCTGTATTTTTGCAGCCCTGCAGTAATTAGTGCCTGGCATCTGTAATGGAAATAAAGTGCGTAAATCAGAGTTTCTAAGATGACACTGTTTTCACTGTATGTTTAATTTTTCAAAGAACATAAAAGCAGATACATCAAAATGTTAAGAAGCCTTTTTTAATTAAAGCCTCTATTTATTTTCTTTTCTTCTCAAGATATGCAAATGGATTGAGCCATTAAAGAGAAAGATAAAAGGAACTCAAACACTGTTTATACACAGCCTTCATGACTGCAGCTATTACTTTTGCAGGAAACATTATTTTGACTAACACAAGCTATAGCGCAGCTTGACGTAACCTAAGGCTACTTTGCAGTGCTAGAGGCAGTGACTGGAAAGGTAGTTTACCTAATTTTGGGAGGCTTCACCCCACAGCATAGATCCTGCACCCAGGTTTCATGCCAGAGGTGGCATTCTAATACCCTACTACCATTCAGCTGTCAATGATGATGCTTTGGGTTACTTGGTTGGCCCAGGTTTGGAGGAAAACAAGAAAGTGGTTTACAGTTGGTTCCTCTCTTCTGTGATGAAATGTCCTCTGGTACAGCTTAATGCCTACACTATGTGTGATTGTTTACCACTGCTATAAGGTACCTTACATAAGGTACCAATCAAGTACTTTCCTTTCAGAACAACAGCACATTGTATTTAGCCTTGGAAAATGGGTACAGCTATCAGGAGGTGAAAAGCTGTCTCTGTTCAAATCACTAGCATCAACCTCCCAGACCTCTTAGCCCAAAATTTTACCTGAGAAGCTTGGGATCAAAATCCATGTTATTTAGTTAGCAGGAAAGAGTTTGGGTGGTGGGCTTCACTGAAGTAATTTAACAACCCTGGCACTGTAGCTTTGCGATCAGCCTTGGAATAGTTAGCAAGGACATTCGTTCTGTGCTTCATTGTAGATGCTGTCCAACCTTTCAATTCCAGGTCTAGCAGCCAAATAAACTCAAATAAACTGATCCAAATGCTGAAGTGCTACTTCAGGCAAAATTCATTGTTTGTTTTCCTTAGATAAAGACTAAAGAAAAACTGAATCAGGACTTCTGGAATTGGCCCTTTAAAAGCTGGAAGAGAACACTTTGGAGACAACTAATGGAAGATCAATGTGCAAGAGTTTAGTACAGAGCACGCTGTTTTTTTAAATTTTTATTTTTATTTTTTCTTATATATTATCTACAAGCACAAGCTTTCATATTTTTAATGTAAAAATGCATACAGATCATTATATATATAAAAATCAACTAGCCTTGCAGCAAACTGCCAGATGCAACTATCCCCAGGTTTGGGGACAACTTGTCTGGATCCAGGTGCAAACCCAGTGGCTGATCCTCACTTCCATCCGTGGCTGCACCGAACCCTCAGATATGAAGATTCTCAAAGTTCTAGTGAAGTCTTGGTTCCTGATCCAGGTCTTGCAGCATGGGCGTGACTAACTCTTCATCAATTGAAGATAAATATTTAAAAACTTCAAAAATGACAATCAACTTGTTGTAGGTAACAAGTATTCATTTCACCTTTCCTCCCCCTTTTATTTATCGTCTTTCTCATCCTCTTTTTGCAGAAATGGTAACAGGCAGAGGAGAGGAATTTAATATTAGTGTCATATATGCACATTAAAGTAGCAGCAGTACAAAGAGATCTTAAAGTGTTGATATCTGCTGCAGAAAGGCTAGTGAATGTAGGTTCATGTTGCATTTGGCCTTTTCAATGCTGGGGCACTTTACTGGCTCAATTTGTACCTTGCAGAAATATGACACATTCATAGCACACCCAATAATATGTTGCAACATTGTGAGCAACAGTAAATTAGATTGCAATTAATACTATGTAATATGTATCAACAGATTATAATATAGTATATTATAACTGGCTTGACAAGAAGCCCATCACAGGAGGAAAAAAATTAATGAGCAATTAAGTAAAGAAATTCGTGTTCATGCAGGAGGAAAGGTCACAAAGTAGCAGCCTCCTTTTTGACTGAGCATTTATCATGTTCGGCAGTTTCCAAATTCAGTCTTTGCAAAGGAATGTTGCTATTTTTATTAGAGGTTCTTTATGTAATGAGTCATGTTTGCACAGTGGAACATTTTCTTTCACCAGGATTTTATAACTTCTCCATACAGACATTATAAAAGAAGATACAATTTGCTCGGATTCTTTTGGAAAGGAGTAGGTTCATAACGTAGTCTCTTCTCCCTTTCAACTCTCTTAATATCAATATGATTAATTTATTTTCTCTTGTAATTAATATATTACCTTTTCGTATTTGCAGCTTTAGTATGCAGCTGCATACTACAGATGTGTGCAACAGCACTGATTTGGAAGATAAGAGGATGACTTAGCGAAATGTTCACTCTGGCTCCTAATGTAAAATACACGTTTGCAATTTCAGACCTTCAGCTAATGACTACTGGTGCATGAGCAGGTGCTAGCTCTTTCTTTTATATTCATACTGATTCTGCATTACTAATAGGACTAAAATTGGCAAAGCTTCTCTCTTTTTTTGCAACACTTTTTTTTTCTTTTACAAAATTAGAGGTATGACCAACAGTTTAGGCATAGGTGCATCATGGAGATAGTGACATCACCTGTTGCAAGAACCTCCTGGCCAGAAGCACATAGTGAAGTTCCCACTGTAGTGTGTGTAGCTGGTGTACGGCAACATACCTGAATATGAGGACTGAAATACAGATACTTATTTCAGAAGAGTACAATGAATTTTTACTACCTAGAATGGGGGAAACAGAGGAAATAAACAACAGTACAAATAAAATACACACCTGAATGTGATGTTCTTTGATGCTGGTTGGATAAAAGATATGGATGAGAGAACTTTTAAAAATAATTTACTTTGGTATAGTATCCTCAAGCGAATCCTTTTCAAGAGTCCTGACTTGGAACTTTCCTCTGTCCACAGGGATATACAGGCTTGATTCTTTAGCCAGTTCCCCCTCTTATATGGCTACCTATAACTGTATAAAGTGCTGTCCAACCAGATATCCTCACTGTCCTAGATCTGTGGAAATTTGCATTTCATAGCTTTTTGGTGTTACTTCCTCACAGAGACAAATAACCCTATGAAGTACAAGCAGTGGAGAATAAAGTTTTAAGTAGTTGCTACAAGAGGGCTGTTCCTCAAAAGAGAATACTGCTAATATTCCCATTTGTCACCCCAACCTTTGGCTGTGGTTCTACACGATGCCAGCCTGAGCTGCATACCATGCTGTCTAAAGGGATGTGACACAACTGGTGGGAGATGAGCACTATCTGAATGAAAGTCTTTCAGTCTTGGTTCTTGCATCTCTTGTGGTACAGTCAACAGGCCAAGTAACAAAGCAAAACTTGTCAGCTGGCAAGAGATGCATGAGGGAAGAGAAGGGAGGAGAAAAAACTGGACACCTCTTATACCAGGCCCCAAAAATCTGATAAAATCACTTGCAATTGAATTTGCCAGATAGAGTCACAAAAAACCTGTGCTGCTTTAAACCACAGAGTGATTCAAGCAACATCTAGAAGCTTAAACAGCTGGAAATTATGGCCTTTTCATATGGTAGAGGCCATTCATATCTGATTTACATTTGGGCTTAGACTTTAAAGAGTTGTCTTCCCATGGCTTCCGTTCTTCAGTACAAGATAGAATAAGAGGAACTACTTGAATTGCAATAAGACCAAAACAAAAATGTAAACAAAAGCTAAAAACTACCCATAACTAAATCAATAGTAATACGGTTACTTTTTTTAGTTTGATTTCCCAACACATACACTCCAATTTCCCATTTCCCCAAGTACAATACTGCACTTTGAGGAGGAAATTTTAAAATGCCACTGGACTAGCTGATCATTTCTTGATGAATTCTGCAGTTTTAGAGGAACTGGAAAAGCAGCTGAAATCCAGTCCTGTTGAAATGTGTGTCCTGTTGGCTAAACACTCCATGAAATAGACCTTTCCTATGTTTTTTGAATACCTTGCTAAGAACATCAGCACTCATACATTTGACAAAAATAACAACAAGGAAGGACAGCTTGGAGTAAAAGCACACAATGCACCCATTTAGAGCTGGTGAAAGGTGTCAGAGAAACTTCCTGGTACAATACAGTAGCCTCTATGTGTATTCAGTTCTTGAGAACACTGGTTGTGATAGTTGTTGGTGGACTGAGGGCTGAATCTTACTCTCCAATGGCTACTGAGCAGCTGGCTGGCTGGAAATAATGTTTAGGCACTACTGATTTGCAGGGGATTGGAGCCAGCCTTGTAGATGCAGAAGATATTCTGTCAGTGTCAATCCCCACAATCATCTAGTCCTTTGCAGTTTGCTTTTTTTTTCCTTTTTTTTTTTTTTCCCCACATTAGCCAGAAGCAGTGTGGCTAAATACATTTTGAAACAAAAGAAGTCTGACCCTGTGTTACTCAAAAAAGTGGTGTGGTTAGTCTCTTCTATTTTTTTTTAATTGCAAAGCTTTGACCATTTTTAATTAAATGTGCTCTGCCTGCCTCATCCCTACTCCAAGCTAATATGGTCTAACATGCTTCTGTGGCTTAGTACAGCTCTTTTTAGCTGCTGATTTTGGTAAGCATCTTATTAATAGCCTGCTTGACGTGAGTGGTGGAGCTTCGTCTCCGAGTCTTGCCCTGGACCATCTTTCGACGCCGTACCTCACGACAGAGCTCATAGAAGGCCTCCATAATGTTGCCCTCTCCTGTGCAAGCAGAACACTCATAAAAAGCACATGCTAGTTCCGTGGCCAGCTTTTCACCTTCCTCTGTGCTGACCTGCCTGGAGTGATCCAAGTCTGCTTTGTTCCCCACCAGGATCAGGGTGACATTTTTGGGCTTTTTTACTTCATCCAACAGGTTCTTAAGCGGCAGCACTTCCTCAAAGCTGCCTCTGTCCGTGATGTCATAAACCAGCACGAAGCCTTCTCCCCATCGCACATGTCCTTCTTTCTGAATAGCATCCTCCTGTTTTGAAAAGACAGACAATGGCCTTAGGAATTTGATTCATGAAAAAGACACCAGGCCTTCAGATAGGCTTTGGTCCTCCAAAGCCTGCAAAGCCATGTAAATCTACTTGACTTTGTACTTCAAGCACATCACCTTTTTTATTGTGTGGCATAGGAGATCTACTCTACCAAGGTGCCATGGACTGCCTGTGGGACAGGCTGGTAGCAGGCAAATGGAAGAGCACACGAACTGTGTAGGACTGTGAGCATCTTCCATTATTTGAAAGGAAGGGGGATTTGGCTATGACAAAACTGCTCTTTACTTTGGTGGGAATCATTGGCTGAGGCTGTTGAGCCTCAACACTTGACTGCAGAAATAGACTGTGACTTTGTGTGTAGTAATAATGTGTTCTTGTGTTGGCCCCGAACCAAGGAATGAGAACAAAATAATTTTAATCCCAGAGTAAACCCTGACTTTGTTTGTTCTTCCAGTGTTTGAAAACTCTACAGGGTCCCTTGCAGAAAGGTCTGGATCCAGCATTCTGGGTCTGGCAGCAAGCTCATGGTGGTGCAGAAGGAGGGGGTCTGCTCAGAAGCAAATCTCTGTCCCCAGAACCGGAGCACACTTGCCACCCACTGCAGTACTGTCACCACCACGCTCCCCTTCCTTGCTGTCTATTTGAGCCAAGGCATTGGATAATAGTACATGTACCCACGCACCTGACCAGCTGTATCTAGTATCTCCATGGAAACCACTTCATCATCAATGGTAGCTTGGTGACGATATGTAGACTCTAAAATAAGAACACATTTTGTGAAACACATTAAAAGAAGGTTGTTTGTTTTTTTTCCAGCCATTGTGGAGTACACTCAAGTACTCCTTTCTACAATGGTGACTATTGTACCTCTTCCTATAAGGCACCCCTCTTTCTTTCCCATGTCTTACACCTACAAAGGGCTGTGCCTGTCCACACTGCACTCTGCTCCCAACAAAAGGACAGTTTCCTGAGGCAAAGAGCTCTGCAATTCTGCAGCCCATTTTTCATGTTTGTTCATAGGGAAGGCTGCCACCTATGAAACAGAAATACCATTAATCTCATCAAGCTCAAAAGTCTGTCACTACGTAGCTTGAAGTCTGACAAGATCAAAACCAGTGTGGTTACAGATTAGGGTACCTAACCTCTAAGCTCAGGCCTTATACTGTGATAAAATTACAGAACAGTTAGCTATTTTAGGAATGTCTCTTTGAAACATGCTGAAATCATCACATTCTCCTCCTCTCACAAAGGCTCAAGCAGTGATTTCCCTATATATGATTTATAACAATAACCAGTGGGCAGTAAGCATTCACACTATGCTAAAGGAAAAAAAAAAAGGAACCTTTTTACTGTGACCCAGGTTCTGGAACCAGGGAACTTATCAGAAAGCTAATGACAAAAGGGCTTGTTCTATCTCAACGAGCTGATAAGTTACATTTGATAGCATTTGACCTAAAACTTGGAAAATTATCTGTGCTAACATGCAGATTTATTACTTTTCCTAGCTCACAGATGTCCTATATTAAAAGGCAAATGTGCATGCTGTAAAACTGTGGCCAGTGCATATGAATGCTTTGCATTGTCAGAGACACAACTCTTTTATTTGGTGCAAATCTCTTCTCAAAAGGAACAAAGGATATCTTTAAGGAAACACATTTCTTGAATTTGAACTTCTGAAAGGGCTCATGTTTGGTGAACGCCTTTTTTCATTATGTGCTTAACAATGTCACCTTTTCATAGTGATAAATGTTTCAGCATTGTCAGTGCTGCAAACAGTCTCTTCCCAAAACAAAAATGTCACTTCCCTCCTGTGCGACCCTAATTGTTTTAAGTAGCGCAGCTGCCTCTCATAGGGACAAATGGTCAGTTTAATTAGGCAGATGGCAAGCAATCTTGCTGTAGGGTTTCAGGCAATGAAGCTATTTATTTATTTATTTATTTATTTATTTATTTTAAAGGCTGTAAATACCCCTCCTGTTTAGTGTTGCAAGTCTGCTGAAGGAGTTACAGTTTCACCTTTGTAATCCTGAGGCTATACCTACAGAGTGGAGTAAGATATATCTATCATTGGCTTGTCTTATCTGATCCTTCTGTACACTCTCCTAGCTGCAGCAATTTCCCCAGGAGAATGCAGAAAAGCAGGAGTTCGGGTTTAGTGTGGAAGCTGCAGTGATGCACCTTCAGCAAGTTATTACAGTGACTAAAATATCTGATGCTAGGTTGGGGCTTCCTGTGCAGCACTCCATGTCCAAGGTCATTTAGGAACCTGTGCTGTGTCTCTCTGGGAGAGAGTGCTGTGAAGGAGATGGCTCTCTGAGTGAGCAATGTGATACTAGCTCCTTACTTGTTTAGGCCTTACAGTGCTTAAATGCCTTTAACCATTTGACCTTGCTTGACAAGAGAATTGGTCCACACAGCTTGCGGAAGTGCTTATCCAACCGTGTTTGCAGCATATTTGTGAAATGTCCTTCTTAGGAGGGAGAGTATGGTAGGTTATATGGCTCTTCCTCATGAAATGGGAGAGTAAATTGCAAGGAGTAGACTTTTGCTCACTGCAGAAAAGTACCAAGGTAACTTATCTTAAATGATACCTTCAGTACTCAAAATAGCACTCTGGTGTCACTTTACATTGCAAGTTTAATTCACTTTGGCTGCTCATGTTGTGATGGAATTTGATCCTGGATGAGTAGCACTGATGTGGGTTGGACTAGTGTAAATATATCATAGTAAATGTGTGTCTGTGCCTCTGCTTTGGAATGTGCAGTAGCTTGGTGAATTTTAATGAGTGTAAAACAGCTGGATGTTTGAAGCATCTTTGGTGTAACCACAAACATGGCTTCTCCTTCAAGGAAATGGAAACATCTGACGAATCTGGTTATGTCTTAAGTCACAAGCCCTGAAGCTGTGACTCTGAGTCTGTTCACATCAATCCCATGGTACTTCATAAACATATTGTCTTGCTTTGGGATTTATTAATATAATTTTCCCTGTGCTACCGTTTTGAGGGTTTTTTTTGAGACATGCAGGTAGGGAGAAATTAGATGACTCGAGATATGTGCAGGATCCCTAACTGAAACCATTGAAAATGCAGGTGTATGTCTCAGCTAAGCACCCTTGACTCCTAGAGCTGATGAAGTAAAACAGGTGCTGGATATAGCTTGTCTGATCTCTCTGCTGGGATAAATCATGCCTCAAAGGCACTTAGAAGTCTAAACTTGGTCAGAAGAAACAGGCAGCAAATGCCTTATGCTTACATCATCATCATCATCATCATGGTCAAGTAGAAAGAGCAAAGTCTAACACTGTACCAGTAGCTCCCAAGATGTCTATAGACAACTTTCTGAGCTTCAGATTATCATTTGCACCAGTTAATGCCTATATATTCTATCTAGAGCTATATTGTTTAAACCTTATAGAAAAGAAACCTTAGAGCTTTGTTTTGCTATTAGACTATTTTTGCTATTATTTTGTTTTACTATTAGACTTATTATCAAAACTACTGGCCTCAAAGCAGAGTTAGGGAGCTGCTAGTGCTGTAGAAATAGTTACATTTGGTAGTTTGCTCTGATTCAATGTAAGTAAGTAAATCTGACCTGTTCTTGTTGGTTTAGGGAATGTACTATGCTTCTATTCATATTCCAAAAATCAAGATAAAAGGTGCTGTTGATCGTGTGGCTTTGAAAGCTGATGCCAGATTTCAGGGTCCAACTCGGTTATAAAGCTATGAGTGCCCAGCACTCTTGCAGTGCAAAGCACTCTTGGATCTCACAGTCCTATTGTTGGAAAAATTTAAGTTCATTTCAGAAACATTTAGAGCTGTCAAAAGGCTGGAGAAAACATGTTAGAAAGCAGTAGCAGTTGATGTGGTTTTAAGTATGTAATACATTGCCACAATAATTCATTAATAGGAACTGGATACAATTTTCAAATTACCACAGCTGCAATAGCTGAATAATTCTGGAAATAATGATTTTTGGGGAAAAAACACCCAAACCTCCCCTGTGGGGTCTTTGTGTTGATAAGCATGCTATAAAAATTCCCTATTCTTCTGAGCAACATGATTTTTAAAAATGCAGGGAAAAAAACTACTAAACTTATACCAGGAAAACTTTGAAGCCCACAATCCATAGACTGTCTGTGGATATGATATTCAGTCACAGCTTGACCACATCACATTCTTGTGCTATGCTTATTGTGACATATTTAATAGAGCTTTGGCCTATAAGACTTAGCTGGTCATTTATCAAACCTATTTGTCCTGGACTATCCTGATCTATTGAATATATCTGCTCCAGAAGACTTTATTTTCTAGAGAAAATCTATTATCTGAGAAGTAATTGCTAGATCTTGGTTTATATTTGCAGTGAAGTAAAAAGCTGTTTTCAGTGCTTGTTTATTTTGAACAGACAATATACATCAGGAGTATGTCACAGCTCTGGAAGGAAATGTTTGCACTGGAAGGGTTTATTGCTTTCAGGAAAACACTTGTAGTAGAAGTATGTAAATCAGCTGAGTTGGAGCAATGACATACACCATTTTACTTGTAAATTTAAGGAACAGCCTGGTCTCTTCTGTTTGCTTTTAAGTACAGAGGTACACAAACTCTGTTTCCATTCAGAATTTTAGTTCATTTTTATCAAGAAAGGTTAATAAAACAAGGACACATAAAATGCTCTAAGAAACTTCGGTCTCATGGTGGCTTTCTGCCAGTTGGATCCGAGAACTGCAAAAGACCTAGAGAAAGAGCTTTTGTGTAATAATTATAGCTGTTTCCAGACAAAAAGCTACAGCTAATAGGCATGAACTTCTAAGTTATGGTTAAAGACTTGTTTGATGGCAATGCAGGAGCAGGTTTAAAAGACTAAAATTTCCCATAATTTTCTGATACATAATAAAGGTTACTTTTTTTTGGTTGTGTGTGTTTTGTTGTTTTTGTTGTTTTTTGTAGGTTTTTTTAAAATAAATTTCCTGCTCATTTAGACTCTTGCAATCTTTGACATGCATTAGGGTGGCACCTGACTAGCACATTTGGAAACAGTGACTTTGACAGCCCATTGGGAAAAAAAAATTACTTCCAGTACAAACCGTGGTGGTGTTTGATATGTTCTCTAGAGCCTTCCGTCAGACTGCCTTTGTGAAATCTGTGCTCTTCTGTGTTTCCTTGCTGCTTCAGGAACTTACACCTTTTAGAAAGCCCCTGTAACTTCCATGTACCTTCCTGACTCAGAAAATCTCTCATGCCTTCGCCTTACCCTCAGCCCAGCTCTTCCCAAAACTCAGCTGAATGCTTTTTTCTTGCTTGTGTCTGGCTGTTACTCAATACATCCATTATCTACCTTACAGGAGGGATTTTATTTTGCAACCATCAGTGGTTTTACTGTAACCACAGTACTGCCATTGTGGATTTACAATGTATTTCTAATGCTAATGCAGTATATCCTCACAACTCTTTATTAACTGATTTTACGGACCCAAAATGAAGCACAGTTGTGTTATGTATTATTTATCAGTAATACCATCAAATGATATACCATGCATTGTTATTGCCATCATTATTATCAAGTGTAAAAGAAGAAAAGGTAATAAAAAAGAAAGTTACTGAAAGGAAACACTGTGACTGACAGCTCTGATAGGACTCCTCAATGTCCTAAGTGTTTCTGCATGTGTAAACCCCAAGAGCCTGGGAATACAGAAGCAAAAGTTCCAGTGCCTGTGATGTCGTTTATGTGGATGACTATCATACTACACCAACATTC